GTGGCTATTTGTTTTATTTTTGTTTGGGAGGAATAACTAACTGCTATGTTAACTAGTAAAGAATAATTTTCTTAAGAGTGATGAATGATTGTCCTAGTTACATTTCCTTTTCCTATCTATGTGAAAAACAAAACAATGACAAAAACATTAAAAGAGAAAGGGTTTAGTTGGCACATCATTCTGCCATTGCAAGGAAGTTAAGGTAGCAAGAGTTTGAAGCAGTTGCTATTCAAGTTATATCCACAGCCAAGAATTAGAGAATATTGAATAATGCATATTACTGTTCTACTTGCTTTCTCTACACTTACTTTCTAAACAAATTGATATGGTGAAATGAGAGCCATTTTCACATATTTTTACCTCTAAATATCTGAATTAACTGAAGGTAGCTTTATATATTCCTAGGACTCCAGATCTCTGAAAGTGCTCAACAATGATGGAAATTTATCCATATATATAATGTGTAGTGACCACTTAAAATGTTTTATATTCTATCTTCTTAAACATTATCATTTACCTCTTCTTGGAGTCTTTGAACTCTTTGGTTATTACCAAAATACTCAATTAACTATTTACAGATTTAACATATTTTAAAGCATATTATATCCCTAGGTAGCATAATAAAAATTACCAAATTATGTGAAATTCACAGAAAGCAAAATATGTAAGTCAAGTTAATTAAAGTTAAATTTGCATTATACACTTGATTATCAGTCTTCCATCTTCATCAAAATTCCCCTGTCAGATGGAACCAGCATGTAAGGCACTTCTTTCTATTTTGTGTTGTGAGTTATATTCTATGTTGCCTTCTTTTTGGTCACTCAGACCCTTTCTTTTTACGGCAACTATGATGCCAGCATCTCTGAAATCTCTGCCCTCATCACTCTAAATGGACAGGAGTAATCCCTATTGAAGGAGAAGAAAATGTTCTGGAAGTGATTTATGGGGTTATAGAGAAACAGGCTCTACATACAATATGCACTGAAAAGGTCCTTGTCATCTAATCACCACATGCAATTATTAGTACAAGAGAGACTTTAAAGTTGGATATTTACCGTGGTGGATTTACTCCAATAAATTTTAAACACTAAATTCTTACTATTGTGCTGCAGAACTGTACAGTTACATCCACATTGTTGCCCTTTAGTTGCCCAGTCTTTCTTTACATTGATTCCTTTGACCTTACTAAACTTTAGCAATCATTAGACTGCTCTTTTCTTCTATGGGAGCAGCATGTTTAGTGTTTCCATATGAGTGATAACATGGTTTATGTCATCCTTCGACTGCTTAAATCCCTTTCTATAACTTCCTCTGATCATATTTTAAGTACGAACACACCAGTTAGCATGGGATCCTCAGTGCCACATATAACCTGGCATGGCTTTGCATTTTCATCATTACAGCACCACAGTGGTAGCAAGAGCATTAAGTAGTGCATTTCAATCTCAGCTAGATACCAAGTTCAAGACCATCCTGGGCTGTATGACACAGGCCCTTATGCCCCCCACACACACTAGATTTAGATTTGTCCAATGGCTAGAACGTTGTATAGGTTGACATACATTATCATATCACTGTCCTTCCATGTAGCACTACCACACATAGAAAATTATGCATACTCATTTTACAGAATCCATATAACACTTAACTCTTCTCTATTCATGCAATTTATCTTCATTTTCCACTAAAATATCAGTGACCATTTGTATTTGTAATCTTATTATTGTCCGTATAGAATGGGTTCTTGGAAGTAGGAACGTGTTTTAATTACATTTGAATTGCTGTTACATGACACAGTAGCTAAGGCAACATATAGAAGAAAGCATTTATTGTGGATTATGGTTTCAGAAAAGTGAGTACATGACCACTATGGCAGGGAGAATGGCACCAGGCAGGCAGGCTGGCATGGCACTGGAACAATAGTAGTGAGTTACATCTGATTCACAATTACAAGGCCGAAAGTACAAACTGGGAATAAATAGTATGAACAATGAAACCTCAAAGTCTTCCCTAGTGGCACACCTCCATCAAGGCCACACCTCCTAACCATTCCAAACCATTTGAACCACCACAAAAGCTGGATCAAAGGCATTTCAGTCTTGTGAGGTTTTAAATTATCTTTTTTCCACTAAATTGGAATCTTTTGACAGATTTTAAATACACTGAAACTACTCATTTGATGGTGATTACACTTAGGGCATATTTAAACATTTGATATTTGCTAATGAATCAAGCTTCACTCACCCTGACAGAATGTGAATTATGGCTCGCACACCTGGGACAGAGCTTGTTAGCTAGCATCTTGAGATATAGTAAGACAAGGGGACACCATGAGCCAGTATGGTCATAAAGATAATGAAAGCAAAATTGCTTACAGTTCTGTAGGTCATCTGAAGAAACTTTGCTCCATTGCTGAAAACCTACAAGTAGTTATGGCCATTTTTTACCATCCAATGTACTGTGACTTTTCTCTAGATATTGCTATTAATGTCTCTATCATTCAAATTTTCGATGATTTCATTACTACCAAAACTGCTTGTCTGTTTCCCAGCCGTCCGGCAGCTCAGACCCAAAATAATCAAACAGAAACTGTATTATTTAAATCACTACTTGGCTCATTAGCTCTAGCTTCTTATTGGCTAGCTTTTACATATTAATTTAGCCTATTTCTATTAATCTGTGCATTGCCACGAGGCTGTGGCTTACCAGGCAAAGTTCCGGTGTCAGTCTGCAGCAGGGCTACATTGCTTACAACAAAATAACAGCGTTAAGCATGGCTTCTTGGTAGCAGCAATTTCTCCTATTTGCTATCTTTGCTAGAGGCAAGTGCATCTCATTCAAGAGAGGCTTCCTGACTCAGCCTTTGCTACCAAACTTTGCAGCTCTTTTAAGAGGCCCTTCCACAAAACACTTAAATGGTGTTTATGAATAGCCTACAGCATGCTTCTTAGTGGCAGCATAGACCTTGAAATTCCAGAGTTGTGACAATAAATGTGGCTCTAGCCAGTACCTCCAACATGAGGTTAGACTCTCAAAAAGCTAAAGAATGGGCTGGATCCAATGTCAGAGTCATGGCTTTAATCCTAGCCATATACTTTAGCAAATTAAAAACTCATGTCGTCAGAAAAAAGAGATACAGTAAACATAGTTTCAGACGAAAAAAACCTCTAAACAGTTTGTGGTGGGTTTAAAAATATTTGTAGGTTTGGGAAAGAAAAGAAAAAAAATAAAATTCTTAAAATAATGAAGAAAGAAAGAGAGTAGTTGAGTGTTGTGGCACACACCTTTAATCCCAGCACTTGGAAGACAGAGGCTGGCAGATCTCTGTGAGTTCAAGGACAACCTGGTCTACAGTGTGAATTCCAGGACAGCCAAAGATACACAGAGAAACCCTGTCTCAAAAGCCAAAAATTAAAAATAAAAATAAAAGATATAAAGTTTAAAATAAAGCCACATAAAGATGCGAAATAAACAGAGAGTCTGGATACTGTATATTATTGTGTTATCTTTAAATTGTATGACTGCTGAGGAAGGAGCAACAACTGCTAAAAGACATTTGATTATTAATGCTTCTGAATTAATGTAACATATATATTTTTAAAATGCCTTGACTTCTAAATTTAAGTCAAAAGATATGTTACTTTGGAAAAAAGGTTTTGTTCTTGTTTCCACAGGAAACAAAAGGCTATAGATTCATTCTAGGTTAAGAAAAATCAGGCTTGATTAAGAAAGGCCAACTGAAGAATCTCCAATAGGAGCAGTAGGTCCGGATGATCCAACATTTCAGAGGATGTCTGTTGGAGTTTCCTCTGAGTTCTACATCCAGAACAGTTTCAAGACTGCTGGCTGAGATGATCAAGCCTCACAGAATATTCCAGTCAGGATTTTACCATAATTCTAAATTTTCTTTAGGTCCCCATAAGATTATCAGCACCCCCAATCAGCAGGAAGTAGCCTAGAAAACTACACCCACATTGCCAAAAAATGGACTATGCATATTTTCTTTGTTTAGAGTATTTGTTACAAGTAATTTTGGATAATGCTCAGGAGATTATATTCAGAATTCTTGTTTAAAAAGAATTCTTGTTTAAAAAGGGGGCGGGGAAGTGCTGTGGGACAATGGTTTGCACACTGTCAATTGTATTTTAATAAAATGCTTATTGGCCCGTAGCCAGGCAGGAAATAAGGGTGGGACAGTGAGAATAGGAGAATTCTGGAGAGAAGAAAAGTCAGTCTGCAGTGGTCACCCAAACACAGAGAAAGTCAGATGCAGAGCAAGCAAGATGTGACTACCTCACTGAAAAAGGTACCAAGCCACATGGCTAACACAGCTAAGAATTTTGGGCAAATGTAAGTTATAAGAGTTAATAAGAAGCCTGAGCTAACAGGTCAATCTGTTTATAATTAATGTAGCCTTCTGTGCGTTTATTTGGGACTAAACGGATGTGGGACCTGGTGTGACAAAAACCTCTGTCAACACCCTTTGATTCTCCCAACTGTTTTTGTTGTATCTTCTGTCTCATTTTCGCTTCTGTTGTCAGTAGAAGCTGATTCCTGCAACTATATGTTTCATTTTTTTTATCTTGTCTCTAACAATGCTTGAAAAAGTTAAAAATGTTATTTGCCACTCTGAGTTCAAATAAAATTCTTGTTGAAATTGACAATTTTCCTTATTTGTTTGTTTGAATTTCCCAATCTATGCTTAAAACATTTCTTTCAGTTTTTAATTTATTTATAACTTTATAGCTAAACACTGATTTCAAAGACTAGACATAGTGTTGCATGTCTGTAATCCTAGCAATTGGGAGGGTAAAGGAGGAAGTTCAAGATATGAACCATTCCACAAGTTTTAAACCAGCCTGAGTTTACAAGGAAACACTGTATTAAAAAATACAGATATAGATGTAGATATGAATTTATTTCCAAACACAGTTTGCATGATGTTATATCTCAAGAAGAATGTATAATAGAAGTGCCATATTAAATAACTTATCTTCCAGGTGGTTTAGAATCTTTGAAATCCCTTCAGCAACTAACTGTGGACCATAATCAGTTAATCAGCACTAAAGGTCTTTGTGAAGCACCAACCATCGTATACTTGGATTGTTCACATAATCATCTTACTGATGTTGACGGCATCGAACATTGTGGATTGCTCCAAATAGTAAAACTGCAGGGAAATTACCTAAGAGAGGTAAATTATATAAGTAAATAATACCCATAACCAATGTAATGTCCTTTTAATTGAAATATCTACCATATATTTTCAAAGCAATTTGAATATTTTGTTTATTTTTAATTATCAACTGTATATTATTTGTAAGTTACCTTTTTTTCTTTTTACTTTTTGTTAGAATATATTAATTACACATAATAATGATTTTTATTGTGGTATTTCCATACCCTCTCCTTGTAACACATGAGCACAATATATTTTGAACATATTCACAAAACACATTACTCTCTCTTCCACTTCCAATACCAGTTATTTCCCTTTTGAACTTGTTGCCCTCTTATATCATTTATTTTGTATGTGGACGGGGGAGAGAGATAGAAAGAGGGAAAAAGAGAAAGAAACTCAGTGAGTTTCATTCATGCTATGTACAGGAGTTTGGCTAGGTAATGTTTTTTTCAGGAAAATTTAAACACTATTACTAACTGCATAGAAATCTTCAGAGAAAGGTAGGGCTTCATGGGGCATTTAGCATTCCATGACTAGGTGTTGTCTAGTCTAACTTAGAGGTGATCTTTTGCAGGTCGTCTGACTGCTAGTCATTCAAGAATGTAATAGCTGTGTTGTGCCCTGAAGATAGTGGTCCAAATGCTCCATCTCATTCCTTCCAGTCTTTGGCTCCTTTTTAAAATGTTCTGTGAGCTTTGGACAAGCTCACAGACGGGCATTCGCACAAGTTTATTCTTCTTTCTTTGATCAGTTGAGTCTATACAGTCACTACTCCAAACATTATTGAAGCTGACTGCAGTAATATATGATAATTTGCTTAGTTATTGAGAAGACATTTTTGAAAGGCACATCGGGTTTATTTAACAAAATACCATCATTATCTTCTGTAGAGGGAAGTTTCTGCACCACCCAATCTCACAGCTGTTCAGTCCTGAAGAAATACACGGAGGCTTATATTAACTATAAACTGTTTGGCCTATTGTTCAGGCTTATTACTAACTATCTCTTACAACTTAAATTAACCATAATTCTGATCTATACTTAGCCACATGACTCGGTACCTTACTCAGTGAGGTATTCTCATCTTGCTTCCTCTGCATCCGGTTGGTGACTGCTTTTCCTCTTCCTAGAATTCTCCAAGTCTTGTTGACCACCTATATTTCCTGCCTGGATACTGGCCAATCAGTGTTTTATTAAACTGATATGAGTGACAAATCTTTACAGGCTAAAAGAGCATTATCTCTCCACATTCTTCCCATTAGAGCTTATAAACGTCCCATCGATGGAGCTTATACCATGTTTACTGAACCAGGCAGGAATTTTCTCCTGTAGAGGAAGCAATAAATTCAATCAGAGAGCAGTTATTTACTTCAATAACAGATTCGCCACTGTTGCGCTATTGGGTTTATGTCACTTGTCTTTTAAGTAGTACTGCATACAGGTATACAACTGAATATGAACATTGATGAAATTCTTTCCAAGAAGCCTGTATAGTTTTTTTTTGCACAGTCTGAGAGCTAGATAACAAAGAAGGGTTCAGCCCTGTTCCTGTTTTATTTCTTTATGTCATGCAACCAAGGCAGGTGGAGTCTTCATCAATAAGATCTTAACCATGTAGTTCTGGTAATCAATCAAGACCAGTGGCAATTGCCCATATATTTTATGGACCAACAACATGGAGATGGGAACACTCTTGGAACTATAATTTTCATTTAATAACACTTAGCTTCTGGGAGCAACTTCATCTACCAAAATAGGATACCATCATAAAACCCCATTTTTTATTATATTTCCTTATGATACTTTCCTACAACTTTACTTTTATCTGATCATCTGCCCCATGTAGTCCTGTGGCCCATTTTCTTGCCTTTGTCCTGCTTCCCAACATCTGGCCTTCCATAGTTGTATTCTTATATTCTACTACCTCTCTTAAATAGCTTTCCTGTTCATTGGCCCCTTTTCATTATTTTACATTTTTATCCTCTTAGGAAAAAAAACCAATTTCTTGTGGTGTCTAATAAGTATAGTTTAAGGTAAGATTCTCCAAAAACTAAACTATGGCATATCATAATATTTCAGTCTCACATAGTTACATAAGTTGGAACACATTTATCTACTATCGACATTAAATTGCATTTTGTCACAAAACTTCTTGTAAAAAATATTAGAAATAATAAAATTAGTTAGTAAGCATTTTATCCATACTAAAAGACTCATAATAATAAGCTTTGAGTTACTGTTTATTGCTTATCAGAATGTATATCTCATGAGCTTTGGTAGACTCTATAGTTTTAAATTAGTTTTGGAAATATTTTGCCTGTTATCAAGTAATGAAATACATTTAATTGCAGCCTCCATCCTTAAAAGATCATGTTCTGCTTAGAGAATTGCATTTGGATGACAACAGCCTCTTAAGTGTGGAAGTACTTTCTTCGTGTTGGCTGCCTCTGCTGCAAGATCTTAGTATCGCTCAAAACAGGTGAAAATCTATTTTATTTTAGGAATAGTTATTTAAAATTGCTGTGTGAGGTACATAAACTAGAAAACTTGGGATTCCTGAAATTAAATCAGGATGCATCAAAATAAACCAATACACAAGATACACATATAACTATCTAGAGGTTTATAAACTGAAGTGGCTGAGTTACCTGAGGCGTCCAGTAAAATCTTCTCTCCATTTGCTTGTCTTTTGTTGTTGTTAAAATAGATTTAAATTTGAATTTCACTGGTATGTAAAGGAGTAACACTTAAAATGTCTTAACATTAATATAAACTGAGTACCTGCATCTATAGGCAAATTAGAGACAATCAAATATCTAGATCATTGGACTGAATTATTGTATAAAGTCAAAATATCACAATAATGTGTGTCATTCTTTCTCTCTGAGCTTAATGTATTATTGAAACATGTTCAATCTAATATGATTAATTTATTAACCACAGACATGTGGAGAAAGATGCTTGAACTACCTATAACAAGAAATTAATTTTTTGAGTTACAAGATATTTACAAGACCAGTGAGAAAGGACAACTGTGTGCTTGCTGATAAACCATAAAATACGTTCTCTCATTTTTTGCCAAGGAGTGTTTATATTTTGAGCATGTGTGTATCGAATGATTTAACCCAGTGATATTAATCTTTAAAAATAAAAAACCTAAATATACATTTTAAAGTCACATTAGATTATTGTAATCATATCTAAATTATGAAATCTGTCTTGCAATTAACTGAACATTGCTTCAATTTGAAGTAAACTCCTTCAAGTGAAACCACATATTACTTTGGACCAATTTGAATACATAGGATCTTTTTATAAAAAATACAATAAAAAATGAAGTGATCAATTATGAGTTGGACACACATAGTAAACCATGCACAATACATATATTGGACAGAAGTAGTTCTCAAACCATATTTCTAACACTAGAAAACATTTATATTAAGAAAAGCATAAAAGAAAAATGCCCTTAGTTATTTGACTGCTTTAAGCCTATGAAATATTCTTTCTGTCAAAGTTAAAATATCACAGGTGATGATGAGTTTTGGCTTTATCATTCTCCGATGATATTCCCCTATCAAGGAATCATTCAACTACACCAATTCAGTTCTTGGATTTAAGAATGATCATTGGATACCTTTAGCTCCCTTGTCAAAAATTAGGTGCTCATCGGTTTGTGGGTTAATATCCGGGTCTTCTATTCGATTCCAAAGGTCGATTTCTCTGTTCTTATGCCAATACCAAGCTGTTTTCAATACTGTAGCTCTGTAATAGAGTTTGAAGTCAGGGATGGTAATGCCTCCTGAAGTTCCTTTATTGTATAAGATTGTTTTGGCTATCCTGGGTTTTTTGTTTTGCCATATAAACTTAATTATTGTTTTCTCAAGGTCTGTGAAGAAGTTTGATGGGATTTTGATGGGGATTGCATTGAATCTATAGATTGCTTTTGGTAGAATTGCCATTTTTACTATGTTGATCCTCCCAATCCAAGAACAAGGGAGATCTTTCTATTTTCTGGTATCCTCCTCAATTTCTTTCTTCAAAGACTTAAAGTTCTTGTCAAATAGGTCTTTCACTTCCTTGGATAGAGTAACCCCAAGATATTTTATGCTATTTGTGGCTATCGTGAAAGGTGATGTTTCTCTGATTTCCCTCTCAGCTTCTTTATCCTTTGTGTATAGGAGGGCCACTGATTATTTGGAGTTGATCTTGTATCCTGCCACGTTACTAAAGGTGTTTATCAGCTGTAGGAGTTCTTTGGTAGAGTTTTTGGGGTCACTTATGTACACTATCATATCGTCAGCAAATAACGAAAGTTTAATTTCATCCTTTCCAATTCGAATCCCCTTGATCTCCTTATGTTGTCTTATTGCTATTGCTAGAACTTCAAGCACTATATTGAAGAGGTATGGAGAGAGTGGACAGCCTTGTCGCGTTCCTGATTTTAGTGGAAAGGCTTTGAGTTTCTCTCCATTCAATTTGATGTTAGCTGTCGGCTTGCTGTATATTGCTTTTATTATATTTAGGTATGATCCTTGTATCCCCAGTCTCTCCAACACCTTTATCATAAATGGGTGTTGAATTTTGTCAAATGCTTTTTCAGCATCCAATGAAATGATCATATGGTTTTTTTCTTTCAGTTTATTTATATGATGGATTACATTGATAGATTTGCGTATGTTGAACCAGCCCTGCATCTCTGGGATTGGAATAATTACTCCCAATTTTTAATATTATAATTTCATTTACTTAGATGTAACATTTGTATACTAAGGTGGGTCATGTTATTTTGAGAGCTATAAGATTGAGTGGCATATATTATAACCTTTATAAAATTCTTGGAGAAGAAAAATAAGCTTGTATCATGTCTGTCCAAAATATCATTCAGACTAAAAAAGGACAAGCATCATTTGTAATTTTATAGAAAAAAAACATAATGCATGTATATACAGTGTAAGTGTATAGATAAATGGTTCGAGGATAAAGGGGGCATGGAATTATGTGGAAATATGTGAGGAACACAATCAATGTACCTTATATACTGATAAAAAAGGAATATACAGTTATTAAATATCATGTATAATTATAATTGAATGCACCGTATAGAATTTTATAATACTATTACTTATTTAAGTGTATTTTCATACTATCAAATCCTTTGCATATATCAGCATATGCTGTTAGTAAAGCAGGAGACCTGAAGGCACATGAGGAAAAGAAATTATTTCCTAATAGCATAATATGTAAATAGTCTCAGGAGTTAGTCTTTTCTCAGCAGATTTATTTCTTTAGCTATGATGCACATCACAGTGTTCTGTCTGTGCAGTGTGTGCAGAGCCACATAGCAGGTGTTAAAACTCAGATAGACCAGTTCAGGTTTGTAGTTTGAATCTGTGACATCCCAGTCAGTTTGCATGACGCAGATCTTTTCATTGTCGAAAACGTAACTTCTTCCCAAGTGTCAAAGCACTGCTGTTACCTACCTTCTGCTGCCAAGTTCTACTATCCTCCACATGGGGAAAGAATGTGAGTCCAATTAATTTAAATAGAGACATTTAAATGTCTTAAATAGAGACATTTAAGATGCAGTTGTATAGACACCGTTGGGATGTCTAATTAGGATACTCTTACATGGTTTATGTTTTCTTTGATTTTTGGTAACTATTTCCATCACAAGGAAGAGATTATACATCCACATACCTTCTTTCTGCACAAATGGAATAGATATAGAGAGCAGTATTTAGTGAATATTGTTTGGAATACTTGTTTCATCCAGTCTTCTGTTTTAAATTTTCATTAGGCCATGTGACTGGTTTAAGTTTGACTTGGAGGAGCTCTAACTGGAAGACTCTCTGGCTAGATAAACCGTCCTACTTCCAGTCAGACCCTAAGTGGGGGCAGAATGGAAACTTACCCATTGGGTGCTCATTGTACAAATCTTTGCTTTTTTGTCGTCTTTGAAAGTTATATCTTTTAATGCCCAGGGCTAATGTGACAAGGTCAAGTCGTATTAGGTTTTCACTAATGTCCCTTTGTCTTTCTGGTTTGAATTTTCTTGAAAAAAAATATTCATGAAATGTCAGTAAAGGGAAAACTACGAATGCATGAGTAAAAGGAGTCTATGATCAGATTTCTACCATCACAATGGATAGTCATAAAGATGCATGAATAGCTACTTTCTTTGACTAAGATTAAAAAAAAACAATTCACAAATCATGGTTTTAAAAGAATGAGTATGTGCATAGATAAAAATGCATATTACAGAGATATTTAACCACAGCAGAAATTTAATTGTTTAAAGTGATTTTTTAAGAAGTCATACTGTTTTTAAGTTCTGGAATGACATTGCTTATTTTCTCTTCGTGTTTTTAAGTATATATCACCATGTAGCCTTGAGGAGTACACAAAATATTATGAAGAAAAGAAAATAACTGTACTATGAAGAGTAAATTAATTTACTTGGTATTGAATTTTAGCAGAAAGACAAAGATTTCATGCTAAAATGTAGCAAAGCTACAAACATAATTTTGGTTAAGTATTTTTATGCTATCACTTGAAGAATCAAAATTTTATGTCTGTAAACTTATCAGGAACATGTTCAGGTCGGAAGCATAAGATGAAGTCTTACATAAAATAATGATCTACCCACAATGCTTTAATTTTGTACATCTTCTTCCTCCTTTTCCTCACCAACCCCCTTCTTCCCTGGCTTTTATTTGTTTATCTTCTCTTCTTCCGTTGTTTCCTGTTACATTCATGTGACACTTAAGTCAATTTTATTCTTAGGTTGTACAAAGAAGTTTGTAGTTCCATCTTTTTGTCGCGTTTTCTTTAAGTGTTTTTATTCTACACCCTATCACCCATGAGACTCTTTTAAAGAAGGGGCAGCATATAGGATTAGAATGAATGGTTATATTGTGCTTAGGAGTGACGACAGTGAACGGCATTTTCCTCCAGCCTCGTTAATTCATATAGGTTTCATCAGTAGTATCTTCTTTCCTTCTCCTAATGCAGAACAGGGTAGTACAAGGGAGGAGTCAAGGTGCACACAAGGGTTAGTCTGTGCCAGACACCGTGAGGCTTTTAGCCACAGTGCTGCTGTGTGACTTCTGACCTTAGAATAATAGTTATAATAGGTTTAGACACATACACACACGCGAGAGAGGAGACAGAAAGATAAAATTAGTTTGAATTTCTCAGCTTTTACTTGAATATAAATATAAATATATATACTTATATATGTCATATTTTAAGTATCATTATTTCTTGCTTGAAAGTAAGTTAATATTTCTAATTGTGAATGAAGCACAATACCTTAGATTTTATGTTGATAGTAACTCACTTTAGTCTAAAATATTATTTAAAGCAATAAAAAGTCTAATCAGTTATTTAATTAAAAGTTTTTTTTAAAAAACTTTGTCTGTGTATGCACGCACACACATACATACATGCATATAAAATTATAACCTGTTGAGTTTGTTTTTGCTGTTTATATGTTTTCAATACTACAACTCTGCATTGAACAATGAATAAGAGGACCAAAGCCTGGGAGAGGCTGCATCTCCTTTCAGCAGTCCTTAGTTCCTTTAGATTTTTGTCTGGTAATGGAGCCCTGTAAAATTTCCTCTTCCATGGTAAAACATCCTCTGATACTGTCATTATTTCAAACTTGTTAGTGGGACTGTTAATAGGGAAAACTTTCATAGCCAATTCTGGCTCTTATATTCTTTCTGAACCCTTTTAGAATGTTCTCTGAGCCATAGATTCTGTAGAGGTGGTGTAGATGTATTCTTTAGAGCTAGCTCCTCAAGATTTATTTATCGATGCACTGTGACCAGTGTGGTTCACACACACACACACACACACACACACACACGCGCGCGCGCACACACACATATATGCACCCCTGAATGTTTGTGTATAACAATAATAAGCAAAGAAAAATAGGCTGTCAACTTGGAGGGGACATGGTAGAGGTTTGAGCTAATGTAGTAGGGAAGTCCTGGAATAATGAAATATGGGGGGAGGGGGAGTGATAACATTTTATTTACATATAATATAATCATAGTAACCCCCACAAAACAAGTTTTACCTTAATGATTTAGACCATGTGCTTAAACTAAAGGAGGAAATAATGTAATTTCTGTATAGCTAGCTTTATAAATATATTAAGCAAAATAATAACCAGATAACTACCCGTTTTAATCTGGATAGCAAATACACATCTAAGCCCATGGTATTTGTGGCTGAAATTAGCAATTCCACGGTAGTTTATTTTTTAAATGAATCAAAATCTCCCATTATTGTAATGTTCCACGGTAAATTCTCTTTAAAATTGAACTTCGATTTTCCATAATAGGATTACTTACATTCTTTATAAATACTGTTACTCAATGTTTTAATTTTACTGCATTGTACTGTACAATTAGAAATAATTATATATAATTTCTTATAATTATATAATTGCTTAGATAAATGAGTTGTCCTTCAAACAAAATAACAAGAATATGCTTGTTAATTTTTTTAATCATGTTAATATTTTGTTTTCAGTTTAACAACAATTGTACCACTTTTTCATTTTGTGTCTTTGGAAAACCTTGATGTCAGCAACAATTGCCTTTCTGGTAAGGTTGGGATTCTATTTCTTTGTTTCTGCTAAATAATAGGCTTTTCATTTCTGTTTCAAATAAAGTGAAGAGTTGTTCTGAATACATAAGCATTTGTATACATGAATATGAGCAAAAAGATTGCTGCTAGCTTTTTTTATTCCTGCCTATTCACCCATTAAATGTTTGTTAAAGCATTATGAATTGAATGAATCCCCCTAAGTGTTTTTCCCCATTTACTCTTCCAGTTAGCTCCTTCCAAGCAGCAGCCACAATCTTATTTTCCCATCAAAAGCTACAATGACAATATATATTCTCCTGGACTTTAGTTGGATCCCTGAGACGACTGACTAGGTTTCATGATGTTGGGCATGAAAATAAAATGTCATTTATAAAACTGTTGAATAAGTCTTAGCATCAGGTTTATTAGACCTGCTCCTAACACTGGATACCTGGGCTATTTTGAACTTTTTCAGCCTGCATAATACCCAACATTTTGTCAAGGCCATGTAATGAATTCTCAAAAGACGTCTCCAATATTCCTGAATTTTTTCTCAATATGTTTTCCCACATATTCTAACCTCATTTCTAACAGGTTACACTTTAATTCAGCAAAGTAGAATATTTATATTGCACTGTCCTTCCAGAGGAACCAAAGTGTTCTTCTAAGAGAAGATTATTGAGATTGTAGAAAAACTAAAAGGACATATTGTGTGTTTCATTTCCATCAGATCCTGACTTAACATACGTATGTCATGTCTGTGAGTCTTTGTATGTGCCCACAAGTGTGCGTGTACAGTCAGTGTTAGTCTTCTGGGTGAAATCAAGTCTCTACACATTGCTCTGTAGAGCAGTCTACATTCACCTATAAGCTTTAGTTTTAAAAGTGGAGAAGGTCTATGTGATTCTGTCTGTTATAAACTTTAGCACATTGTATTACTTTATATTTGGCGCTATAATTTTTGTTCTAGGTATAGTAGAGCACTAAGAACATTATCTCACCTAGTTCTCAAACAGCAAGAGGGTCTAAAACTGGATTTTAGAAATGAGTTGTCAGAGTTTGTATAGTTGCTAAATGGTGGAAACATAGTTTTATACTAGTCTATGTTCTACTCAGTATCCTCTCTTTTCTGAAGACTTTGGGGTATTCAATGGGAAACAATAAATACCATTTTAATTGGGAAAATGGTGATTTATTTATGCCCAATTATGTTAAAATTATCTATGTAACTTTGCTAATTTTCTTTCGTCCTTCCTTTCCCCTTCGTTCTCTCCTCTCTCTCTCTCTCTCTCTCTCTCTCTCTCTCTCTCTCTCTCTCTCTCTCTC